GCTAATACAGGTAGCAAGAGCATAAATTGAGCTACTAGATTATTGACAATCGGACCTGCTTGCACCGCCTTCCATCCTACACTCCGAATACTCCTTGTAGCGACGTAGTAAATTTGATGACGTGCAGCTGTAGCCAAGGCTGCATTGACGCCAATGCGCTCAGCGAACGAAGGTGTGGACGAGGACGACGATGCGGAGAGATGGCCATGGAGGTCGTCATGGTAGTCGGACATCACTGGTCGAAAATCAATTGACTGGGAGAAATGGGACAGCGCGCTCCCGCGCGTGATCGAAGAATCGGTGATCTGAGCGCTGGACAAGCGTGATGAGAGCTGAGACGATACCTCGGGGCCTGGCGCAGGCACTATCACGAACTATAAGCGTTGTGCGACCTCATTAATCTATGCCGTTAGACCACATAGAGTCTTTATTGGGCGCTAAATCGTCTAAGGCACACGTCGTTACAAGAACGCGCATCATCAACTGCTTTCGAATTAAACGCTGGCAGACGTACTAGGTATCTTATCCATCATCAATTATTTGACCTGACATCTTGGGCAGATTCGATGGCTGCGTTAGAAGAGTACCGAAGAGGACAAGCGAGATGTTGATGCAGCTTAAATTAAAATTTTCAATTACCTGTGTAGGCAAGAGCGCTGAGAGTGCGACGGACGGCGCGATTGCAACAGGCCAGCGATAAATTAAATTCTAGCCCCATCTCGTATACCTTGAGATTACTCGAAACACTACAGCAAGCATCTTACTGCTGAATCACAAGCTGCCAGGAGGAGGTATCGAGAAGTTAGGACCGTACAGTCGTGTTTCATAACAATTTGTCAGTAATATGCAATAATGCGAATTAACCATGGATATTCTATTCCTAAAGGCCTTGTATTTTGGCGGGCGTCAAATTGTCACCTCGGTCCATGCAAGTAAGACTCCCATGAGACTATTTGTTCGTTGCTTACTCGATCTAAGAAACAATGTCGGTGAAAATGCAATATTCAAGATAGAGCTAGTACAGGTAGCAAGAACATAAATTTAGCTACTAAATTATTGACAATCGGACCTGCTTGCACCCCCAAGTGTACTGTGACCCTTCCATCCTGCACTCCGAATACTCCTTGTCGATTTATAGATAGTTGGTAAGATGTGCGATCCATGTTATCCGCTGCAGAGCTAACGATACTTTCAACGCTTCAGAACACGAATCAGAGCTTCATTCTCCATATTCTGTGTTTCTTGATCACCTAAATCCAACGGCGATTACAGCTCGCAGTCGGCAGACGATAACTTCATTCATGAATTGTGAAGACCACAGAATCCGCTACGATTCAATTTCTCGTTCTGCTCATGATCCGGCTGGTATTTCGAACTTCGATGTACATGAATGCCGGCAACTTGCCTATTGAAGACTTACAGATTATATATTTTCGGGTTTTCTATTGAGACGAATGGAGGCAGATTCCCTCATCTTATCTTCGCTATCTTACTACAGCATTCACTGCAATACAAAATTATCTACGGCGACCAGGTGTCCATCGAGCATTGAGTATTGCTATCGACTGCTAACTGCGCGTGTGATAGAAACACCCAGTCGCCACAAACGAGTTGCAAGAACGAGAACAAGGAGGATAAAACGAGCTCGAACTTGGCACAACTTGCCGGCCGCCACCATTCTTCTCTCTCTCATTGAAGATGCTTCAGGACATCTGTGCATCAGAAGATCAGCATCTTTTTCATTAATCTATGTATAACCTACTTTGTGATACAGTATTCACACATGTCAGCTTGCTTATATCTTTCCATGAATAGCCACGCCCGCAGTACGCCCACCATCCCGAGCCGCGGTCGCCTCCAGGATTCTCTCCAAAGGGTATCAGTCTACTATATTTGCAGCGATCACAATGATGCGCAAGGAGCAACAAACGACGAGCAACAGCACTGTTTTCTCTCGGAAGCCGAGACCTTCGTTTCCGTTCAATCTCTCACCTTCGCGGAAGCCGCGCAAGTAAAGTATTATGACAAGAGGCTAATCTATCTATCCATCAATAATTTCGCGGGTGCAATAACTACTTCCCGGAATCCCAAATTTGAGAGTACATTGAATGCAGAGCCTCTCGATATTCCACACCAGGGAAGATTTCGAGAGGGATCATGGCGAGAAAGATCTTGACAAACGACATCACTCAAATGTGAATTATGGCATCGGACAAATACAGAGCCCGACAGCTGTGGGATGGCTGAGCGGACGCTGCCCATATTACAATACTTTCATTCCATAAGTGTATACTGTCCTATCATAACTCACAGCTAGTAAAAAAAATCGGCTGACCACCTTGATCCCCTTCAAGCCAGCAAGAAATCACAGTCCCACCTCAGCTATTGTTATACTTCCCCAAAAAACCGTAAAGGTCACGCAACCTCATGCAACAGTGAAACCGAATTCTCAGAGACGGAGCCTTGGTAAGTCAACAAGTGCGGAAGGGATGGGTGATTTGGAGTTGACACGTCGAACAGCCGAACATGATCAGAGCTTCGATCCTTCGAACACATGGTCGTGCATGGGGAAGGCCATAGCAGGCTATCAACCCACCAAATAGAAGATGCAAAGCTCGGGATCTCTCCGGTTTGTGTTTTTGTCCAGATAAAATCCATCTCAAATTATGCTTATCAGGTATTCGTCTTTCCATCGTTTGCTTTTTTCAATCAACCAATAGTAGTAACCGGATAGGTTCACTTGTCTTCTCCCCCTGAGATAAACTCTACGATGTTATCTAGTCCAAGCATATCAATAAATCGAATCCAAAACACTTTTCGTCTGTCCACAATACGCGAAAGTGTCGGAATATTCATCTTGACATAGCGTGGCACATTCTCATGATTGTCTTGAGCTTTTTATAAGTTTGACAACTTGTTGTAGAAGCTTCAGCCTGTTCTTTTCGACTCGGATCAGGATCAGTTGTTCGCGGTAGAGCTTGACAAGCGAACGTGGCGATTGCGGGATTTAGGATTATCCTTCGGATTCACCAATCATCTTTAATGTATATTATGTTGTTCAGCTACTCAATCTTACCAAAAGTATCTGCATCCATAATAACAGCCGTCAAATCCCTGTCAAAGACACTGATTTGGGGATATGGTTTTCAAGCTACCGTATATGCCCATTAATCTTCGATTTTGAGGCGTGCCAAAGCCTTGGAGTTAGTCACTCTAGACCTCGAGTGGAAGCCTCGTAAGAAGATGCCCACTGGTTCCTGAGATGCATGACGAATCACCGCAAAAATATTGCTGACGATATTCAATATTCAATATCGAAGTCCATGGCAATGGTAGGCACCTCATGTAGACCATGAACTACGAGATATTTTACCCATAAAGAATATCAATGCCTGATGATCTTAGAAATGGAGATAAACCTAGCGGCGAGGCAAAGAGATTGGCTGCTATAGCAAACCATTTCACTTTAGTGAGCCTCAATCAACTAAGACATGCGTTATCCAGCAACAGCCCGAGGAACAGATAGCCTGACCATTCGCGTTGCGGCTTTGAGAAAGTTAGGACTGCCGAGAAGCCCTCGTAAAAGCTAGGACAACCGAAAAGCGCACGGGAGCTATGCGACCCAGTGCCGAAAACCAGTAGGCGCACGTTGAATGCACCGGTTCTGAGCGCTGCGCGCTAGTCCACGAGCACCGTTCACTTACGCCAATGCCGCAAGCTCGCTCCTTGGAAGCTACAAGAAAGGGAATCGACAATGTAATAGTCTGTAGATATTGTTGCACACAGAACATTCCACTGCGACTGCATTCATCACGTTGACGACGATGGGAAACGCTGCGTAGGGGAAAATTCATTCTCCGCTTGAACATCAGTGGTCCGTGCGTTGATGAACCAACCCCAAAATCAACCCTACTGTTCATCTTGTCTTCGTCCGCACCTTTGCCTTTTCTCTCTCTTGTGCCTGCCACATCCGTTCCTTTACGATGACACTGTTATCTTGGCTTCGCGCCCTCTAGCTCTCGACCAGTCTCGAACGTTATTGCACTTGCGTGGCCCGTATGGAAAACCGAGCACCACGCTCATCCAAACACGTCCGGCAGCATTCGTTCACACTCATTCACCCGAGCACAAAAGCAGATGTGATGCAGCTTTACAAAGTATGTCTGGAATACTTTCCGGACTGTACCTAAATTTGAATGATGGAAACGCTTTCTAGCTTTGTACGTGCTCGTGTTCTTTGGTTCTGTGGAAATCATATTGAATACACTACTCTTCAAAATGCTGCATCGACGTCTTTGATATACAGTCTTACTCTGCTGTTCGCTAGCCCTTCGTCCTTGACTGTATCTCTCGATCGATCAGCTTTGCGTTAGTATACCAGCCGAAATATTGGAATCGCTCCCTAGATGCTAACGTTGGTTCCGGCGACGTCTCCCTCACTTGCTGCTGTCATATCCCTTTCGCTTCGCTTGCGTTCTCACTGTATAATGGCACTCGTTCTGGCACGAATATGTTACGATGTTCTGCCTTCTACTATCCAATGTAGCCTTTAAATTGACGCGCTTGCGCATGATTTAAAAGTGTTGTTCACTCAACGTGTTCTCGTTCCGAGTCTACGTACGATACCTAGGTAGATTACTTCCATGTTTTAGGTTTGACGTAAAAGTCAGACTGAGCAAATCTTTATTCCGCTTCCTATTTACTATTAAGCAACCAAATTAGGGATGTTGAAGCGACTCTTACGACCTGCTTGATGTTGACGAAACCAATGCCTTGGACAATGACACGTCCACGAGGCTCTGGGTTCGGGGCGCATATGAGCGCAGTTTGGCGCCGGTCTGTTGGCGTTCTCTTATGTTAGGAGAATGTGTTCTACTATGGTTGTCCTGTTGGACGGTATATCGCGCGCGTTATTCTCTGAATGGCTGCAAGTCATAAATCGCCACGCTGTCCGAGCTTAAATCAATCCCTACCTTTTTCTATGTTTGATGACCTTGTAATCCGGTATGGTGTAACGGCTAACATTACCGCCTTTCATTCCTTTGTCGTAAAAGACCACCGCGGTAGCTCGGGGTTCGATTCCCCGTACCGGAATAAGAAGCCAGAAACCCATTCGGCCATTCAAATTTTTGGTCCTCAAAGTTATCACAAACACTCGGCTGCTCGCTCATCCATGCACACTGCAGATACACCTTCTTTTTGAAAACCGGAATACTAGATATTCACACAACCGACTCCTACACCACCCACGTACGCTATCACGCCATGCATCCGCCACCTCCCACAAACCGTTCACGCATACGCCGCATACGCAGAGATAGCCACCGCCATCGCGGAGCCGATGTTGGTCTTCACCGTAGTCGCATCCGCGACGAGCGAGGACTGGAGTCAAAAAAAAAAGTGATTCCCTGACGGTCAGCAACTGCGCTGGCAGGCATCCGGTCTCGAGGGACAGGGACACGCACCGGGCTGTTCTTGATGAGGCCGTTGGCGAGCAACGTCGCGTTTCCGTTGAGGTACATCAAATCTTCATAGACCAACTTGGGGACGCCGCTTACGGGGAGCGCTAGTTCGGGATGTAATGAGCGAGCGTGTTGTGATCCATGGCGGGCGACGGTGGATGGGGGCAGGGAGTGGGGGGTTTCAAGTTTGTCTGCACGTACCAACAAACGCTGCTTTCTTAGCGATGACTTCTTTCAGCGCGCTGAGGATGTCGGGCTCGATCGCCTTGACGGTCGTCAGAATGGACGTGCCATCCGCAACGCTGAACGCCGCCGTCGCCTAGAAAGTCAAACATCACACAAGCCACGAGCCATAAGTACCTCCGTGTTAATGTATCACCCAACACCAGCCTGAGGACGCACCGTCACATCGCCCGTAGTCGTCTTCAGGGACCCGGCGAGGCTCAGCGTCTCTTCATGGATCGTCTGCACACCACATACCCCATCCACATCCATACATGAACATGCACCTCATATCAAAATAACGCGAAAGAACGCACCAGCGCCTGCGCGAGCGTCCCGCCCGTGCTCGGGAAGCTGGTGATCGCGCTGTTGAGCGTGGTGACCGCCTTCGCCATGCTCGCGAGGTCGGCCTCGATCTTCGCGACGCTCCCCAGCGCCGCGCCGGTGAACGAGAGCAGCGCGAGGAAGGGGCGGGTGATCAGAACCATTGTGCGTTGGGGGTGTATGTGTATGTTGACTTGGGCAGGTGGGGTGCGCTGAGGGATTCTGGAGTGCGAGGGGTGGGGGTGGGGCTGCTTTTATGCGTTGGACCGTAGCTGTCAGTTACAGGCACTATAAGTGCTAGAGAGCAGCACATGCGACTTCGCACCTGGGCGTCGAGGACTATTGCTTTTGCGGGGTCGGCGATTCCTTATTCTACTATTCCTCTCAGAGCAATTCAAGCGCGCTGGTCGACGATCGTTCCTCCATAAGGTATTCCGTTTACTTTTGGAACGGGGGTGGAGCAGTGTCGAATACCGGCGTTTCTTTTGGACGACATCGGTAGCTTCGATTGTACGAGATGGTGCAATATCGAGACGCTAGATAAATCAGACGCCAGCGCAAGAGAAGCGAAGGATTCGGGCGTTCGTGTTGCGAGTCGACGTGGATGGTGAATCAGAATAGAACATGTTCAGTGCTCACTTGCATGTGCTCAGATATAAGCATTCAAGTTCTACTTAGGGTGTATTGGGTGTTGCGAGATCTAGCAGCGCAGTGAAGGGGGTACGATGGAGATCGAAAGGTGCTAAAATGGGAATAAACGAATTATTTAGACGCAGCTTAGGCCCAGCAACGAGCTTTGATTGCATTTCTAATAGGGAAAATCTTGCTCTTACAGGGTTCGAAAGAAGTCGTTGAGTGCCATGCACACTCGCTCGACGCAGATCCATAAGTTCCCTGTTGTAGAGCCGCACGGAACGGAGTAATGGAAGCCTCCGAGACAGGCGATTAGCCATCCATATGAACCACTTCGTAAGACTGTAAGTCTGTAACAGCAAGATCAAGATATTCAGACATGATCGACGCACGACAGACCCTAAAACGATTGGAATCTGTGGAATGTCAGTGCTTGGGATGCGTTTTTTTTCTCCGGACTCCAGCAAGCGTTTTGCGTTTGGGGAGCGCGTGAACGAACGAGCATATGCTCGTGCCATGCAACTACCATGGCCACTACGTGGCTTCTTTTCCATTAATATCTTACTATGCGCAATTCTTTGCCACTAGGAACTGACTTCGGCTTGAGTTTGGGCTTCGTGTAGAGCTTGTGTAGAGTCAATGAGTAGCTATAGTTGATAGAGGCGTCAGCTGAAATGCAAGCGATGTCCGTAGAATCGAAGCGCTATTAGGTAACGTACGTTTCGCAGAGGTGGAAGTTGGTCCAAGTTCAAGTTGAACGCAATTACGGAAAGTTGTAACACATGAGGTATTGTTCTCTATTCAACGATATTCCACAGCTCAGAGTTTACCTAGGACTTGAGTATCTATAAGTTTCTCTGAATGCACCTTCCTGTGACGAGTGAGTCAATCTTTTTGTTAAGGCATCGACGCGCCTTCAAACGCGGGCGCGGCTATCTTTGAACAGGCCAGCATGCAAAACGAAGTCACAAGACGGCGCCTCGCGCGCAAACGCACCACAGCAATTCTTCTGGTGCGTATCCAAATTAGGATTCGGAGAAGGTCATCCACCAGCAGTGGTCAAAAGAATAGATGAGAGTCTTTAAAAGACACGTAGAGCGCAGTTGCTGGAAACAGTCAGTTGAGCCGGCGAGTGGATATCGATGAAGCGCTTCGTACCGGTCAGCGAGGTCGATATGCCTCTGTAAATATCTCCTTCGACAGACCTAAGAAGGTCGTCTAAAAAAAGAAGAATCTGCTTCGTGGCAGTAGGGTATGGTGTGGATAAACACATGAGCGAACGCTGAATATTGGATACCGAGAAATGGTTGAGCGCGGGTTGAAGGAGAGCTTTCTACCCTCTTACTAACATGAGAGACATGAACGAAGGAGAGCGATTGGGAGTGGGCGGTAGGTGGTGGAAGGAGCAAAGTGGGGTGATTCTATTTTTGGGCGGCTTAGCTAAGGGACCTCATGATATTGTGTTGTTGGAAAATTCTCAGGCGACAGTTGTTGTTCCCTTCCAATCCTTGCCCCTCCACGCTCTTTATCTCTTGCATGCTATAGCCATCTATAAATCAATATGGCCACCATCCCCATTACCGGTGCGTATCCCTCTGCCATCTCTCCCCGCCGTAGCTCACGATGCCCATCCAGGCTTCCCCACAGGGCCCCCGTGAGTCACCCCCGCTCCCTGCTATCCATCCAGCCTGACCTCTTCGCCAGTACCACGACCTCGATCACCACTACCACCTCAACGACCAGCTCCCCTCCGCCGCCGCCGCCTACTACAACCTCCACCACCTCCACCACCACCACCTCTTCGCCTCCACCTCCGACGACGACTTCGACCACCTCGTCTACCAGCAACACCACTACGAGCTCTACGCCTCCGCCGACCACTACTTCGACCTCTACTAGCACCTCAGCTGTTGTTACCACACCTCCGGCTGTGACGCCGACTACGACCCAGCCCAGCGTCGTCATCCAGACATCGACCCAGTTCATTTCGTCGACGCCGGGCCTCGCAGCTGCTTCTCAAACTAGTACCTCTAGTAAATCCAAAGGGTGAGCATCTCGTCCTACACTTTTCCACGTCATTGTCCTTCTCTGGTTGTGTGATTTTGGGTTTCGCGGTATTCCCGGTTCGGGGTGTTACACGGTGTTTATACTGCCGAGTGCGCGTGATGGACTCAGATGGAGGCATGATCTCGCCATATACATCATTGATACGTTGCGTGCTCCTTGTTGAGAGTTTGGACGGAGAGTGGGCATCATCTCCATTCCTTGCGCGTCCTTCATACCTCGATTCCCTTGTCCTTCTGCCAAATCTGCTCTTCTCGTTATGCCCATGACCGAGTGCTCGAATCCCACACCAGAACATCGGTTATATGTTTTCCCCCCTGCTATTCTTTGTGCGTGCCAGTGCAGACATAGTTCCCAGCTGCTCGCCCGTCTTCTTGCTCGCGCTTTCCACTTGTCATCATTTCCCCCACATCAGCATCTGCCAGCGTTTCGCTTCCTTCTATTTATATCCCCACGCACGTTGCCGATCCCCGCTCACCCCGCCCTTCTTCCCCCCACTATGTAGATTCTTCGCCAACACGGGCGCCGTCGCGGGCGTGTTCTCCGTCGCGGGCCTCATCCTCCTCGCGCTCGCCATCGCGCTGATCACGAACAGCATCCGCCGGCGCCGCGCGCGCAAGTTCGACCGCGAGCTCGCCGCGGCGACGCTCGAGGCCGCGTCCGCGCCGCAGCCCGTCTTCCTCGACGACGAGGACGACGAGTACGGCCCCGCCGCCGGCGCCGGGCGCTCCGGGTACGGCGGCGGGGGTGGTGATGCGAGCGGTGGGTACGGGCAGAAGGAGGGCGGTGGGTACGGGCAGTACAGCGATGTGTCGAGCCACGGCACGTTCGGGCAGCCGGCGATGAGCGTCGGCAGCCACGGGGAGACGTACAACATGCGCGAGATCTCCCCGCGCGGCGATGGCCCGGGGCCCGGGGAGCTGTTCGACCCGTACGCCGGCGCCGCGGGGGCCGCGGGCATCGGCGTCGCCCGGGCGCGGAGCGGGCGGGTCGCGGGCGATGGAGGGTACGCGGCGGGGCTGCAGGACGGGGGCGCGCCGTATGCGGCGTTCGCCGCCGGCGGGGGGCAGGCGAGGCATTTGGACATCCTGGAGGCGGCGGGGATGGGCGCGCACGCGGCGGGCGCGGGCGCGGGGCTCTCGAGGGGCCCGTCCGCGGCGCAGTACGGCGGGGCGTACCAGCCGTACCCCGGCGCCCAGCAGGAGTATGGAAATCTGGACCGGAGCCGGTCCGTGCAGTATCAGCAGCAGCCCCAGCAGGGTGGGTACCAGCAGTACGAGCAGCAGCAGCAGCCGCAGCAACAGTACCAGGCCTACCCCGCCCAGCAGGCGCAGTATCCACAACAGCACCAGGAGCCCTCCTACGCCCCACAGCAACCGCACCAACAGC